CCAGCCTCGGCCTGCTGGGCTCCAGCGATCCTTCCGCCTCAGTCTTCCAAGTAGCTGGAACTATAGGTGCGCATGCCCGGCTAATTTTTTTTTTTTTTTTGATTTATTGTAGAGATGAGGTCTCGTCAAGTTGCCCAGGTGGTCTCGAACCCGAGACAACTCGCTCACCTCGGCCTCCCAAAGCGCGGGATTACAGGCTGAGCCACTGAGCCCAGCCAAGCTCTGCATTTTAAGAAAACAAAACAAAACCCCAAAAACCCCTTGCTTTGCCATCATCCACCCGTTAGACTGAAGCTGAGTTGGGGGTAAGGGACTTTGTAGGCTGGAAGGCTGTAGGGGAGGGGCGTCTGTGGAGAACCACGCGGGCATCCAGGAGAGAGCCTGAGGACAGCTGGGGCTGCTTGGCACACTCTGAGCCTGACCCTGGCCACCAGTGATCATCTTCTTCCTTGTAATGTTGAAGAGTCTCAGACTCAGGCCGGGGCCTCCTGTCCCGGGAAGTCTTCCCTGATTGGCACTGCCATTTCAGGCTGCGCACGCCTCTCCTATCTCACCACCCCACTTGCACGGATTGGTAAGTGGACTGCTTCACATTCACCTGTGTCTCCTCCCCTCCAGACTGTTCGTGCCATGGTGGGGCCCGAGCCCTACTCACTGGCAGGTGGGGCAACACCCAGTGCTCAGGGGCTTTGCATCATGGGCGACTGGCTGGCTCGGGGCCTCTCGGGCTCTGTTGGGCGAGCTTCTTTAATGATGAGCAACTCGTCATGACTATTCCAAGCATCCACAAGCATGCTCTACGTCCCATCCCCCCGACACCAGAGTGCACGATGTCATTGGAAGCCCTGGAGGAAACTGAGACTCAGAGAGAGCAATGAATTGTCCCCGGGCACACAATGAGTCAGGGCAGCCCCCGGGGGAGACCCCAGCTCCCAATTTCTCCCAGGACTCCTGTCATTCTATAAAAGCAAACTTTTTTGAGGTATGATCTACACACAGCCAAATGCACAGATTTGGGGTGTACAGCTTGATAAGTTCTAGCTAATATCTACAACCGTGACGACTACCACAACCAAGCTCACCCCTCCTGCCCCTTCCCAGTAAACCCCTCACCCCCTCCACCACCCTAGCAACTACTAATCTGTTTTTCGTTTCTTTTTTTAAAAATTGTATTTATGTAGCGATGGAGTCTCACTACGGTGCCCAGGCTGGTCTTGAATTTCTACCTCAAGCGATCCTCCTGCCTTGGCCTCCTAAAATGCTGGAAATACAAGGGTGAGCCACCACACTTAGCCTTGCTTTTTAATCTCTGTAGATTAGTTATGCCTTTTCTAAAAGGTAAATGGAATCACTCTTACCATGATTTTTAAGTTTTCTTTGTTCCACATCTCTGGCCCTCACCAGGTTCTCTGGTGACTCCCCCAGCTACCTCGCTCCATGCCTCACCTCTGTCACACTCCCACTGCCCTGGGAGCCAGCAGCTCAGTGAAAGCTGCTGGAAAACAGCAGCCTCGGGCAGGTGTTCAGGCCCCATCTGCCCACCTCGACCTCAGGCGCCCCTGCCGAGGTCTCAAGGAACCGCAGGCCTCCTCCCTTGGCTGGTATGTTTTTCCAGGAAGGAACAATGCCTCCTTCTCCAGACTGCCCTCCCAGGGGACATTTTGTCAGCAGCCAGGCTTGGGCCCTCAGCTGCTCTGCAGGACCTGGAAAGAGGGTGAAGAAGGTTTGGGCAGCTGGTTGGAGGCAGTATGGGGATATAGGGACAGGGGGCTGGTCTGAGGTTCTGGCTTATGGGTACAACCAGGCCTTCCAGGCAGGCCGGCCAGTATTGGGTGTCATCCATCTGCAACCAGTGTGACCAGTCCCCACCCCAAGAACATAGACCCTGGAGAGAGGGTCTTTTTGCTTACTCCAACAGCAGGATGAAATATTTTATTTTTTCTTAGAGACAGGATCTCCTTCTGTCACCCAGGCGGGATTGCAATGGCATATTAGTAGCTCTCTGCAGCCTCCAAGTGACCCCTCTGTCTCAGCCTCCCAAGTAGCTAGGATTTTAAGGGCACACCACTATATATGAATAATTTTCTTAAAACATTTTTTTGAACAAATAAAAAATAAAAATAAGTTTGGTTTTTTTGTAGAAACAGGGTCTCACTTTGTTGCCCAGGCTGGTCTTGAACTCCTGACCTCAAGCAATCCTCCCAGCTCAGCTTCCCAAAGTGCTGGGATTACAGACATGAGCCACCACGCCCAGTTGGGATGCAATTTTGAGGAGGGGTTGAGATCTCTTTTCCAGCATGTATGGCGTCACTCAGCCCCTGATCCCAGAACTGGGGACTATGAAAAGTGGGTTCCAGTGAGAACTCTTCCCAGAGACTCCTGTTTTAAGAAATGCAGAGCACTGAATTACCCGTAATTCTCAGTTTGGAGCAACTGACCATTATCATTGGTCTATGCAAGACCCCTCTCTGGTCTTACCGATTCTTTCTACCTTCTTCCTCACCCCTGACCCCCAGACATGTCCTTGAATATCTGTGTTATCTGTATGAAACTGGCAGTGCATCTGAGGCAGGCAGGCTCGGCAGTCTCCCAAGTCTCCCGCAGCAC